TTGTCGATTTTCACCGATTCAATACCGGAAGTTAAACTTATACGATAAAAACTAAACGAAACCGAATAAAAACGCGTGTGCACGATGTTTCCGCTTAAACAAAACTATGGAAAGCCACGGCTGCAATTAACATATAATTTCAATCTGTGACAATAAGGAACATGTATTTTTATTTTCTATGTTCTTAAATGATATTGAAGACATTTTTGTTCATAGTAACCTTGATGGCATAAGTGTAGATACCTTTAAAATGTTCCTTATTTTATATGCAGATGATATTGTTATATTTGCTGATAGTGAAACAGATTTGCAATCTAGTTTAGACTTACTATATGATTACTGTAATAGATGGAAGTTGTTAGTAAATACATCAAAGACTAAAATACTCATATTTAGAAAGGGTGGGCGCCTTCGAGCAAATTTGCAGTTTAAATATGGTGAAAATAACATTGAGATCGTTTATCGTTTGTATATCTAGGTATCGTATTTACGACATCTGGTTGTTTTGCTGATGCACAAAATACCTTAGCTGGCCAAGGATTAAAGGCAATATTTAAAATGAACAAATATTTATATAAATTTACTGATGTATCTGTAAAACATAGATTAGAATTATTTGATAAGTTAGTCATACCTATTTTTCTATTATTGTTCTGAGGTCTGGGGATTTCACCCCGGTGCTACCATTGAGAAAGTTCACACACAATTTTGTAAACGTTTATTGGGTGTAAAGAAATCCACTCAAAATGATTTTGTTTATGGAGAATTAGGTCGCATGTCGTTACAAAACGTAAGATTTTATATCATTATTAAATATTGGATAAAAATTTTGTATATGTCAGATCACAAATATGTTAAAAAAACAACCCAGAATAAATTGGTTCGTTTTGTTTTGAATAAGGACAGCAGGTCACATGTTGGGCCAGAGCAATTTAAGGTTCTTAACTGGTTACCGGTCTCCAAAAGAGTTGATCAGATAACTCTTTGCCATGTCCATAAAATAAAGTCTGACACAGCCCCAAAATACCTTAAGGAGCATTTTGTCCATGACCGCTGTACCAGGTCCAGAGTGTCTGCACTTTCAACATCAGATTCCTGTGTAAGCTATTCTTTTAGTGACACAGGACGATTTTCTTTACCAAAGGTTGGAAGCTTTGGTAGAAAATCTTTTGCTTTTAATGGTATTTCACTATGGAACGGCCTTCCTCAAAATCTTAGAGATATTCAATCTTCCCACACCTTAAATTATGCCACCAAAGCCCATTTAATGGCCAGTTAATTTAAGTTTATTTTTCAATAGTATTTGAATCTTTTAATAGTCTTAATAGAGTCCCAGATTTTACATATTCTTAAGTTTAAGCACAACACACATATGTTGTGTCCTTTAGTAATTTACCCATTTTTAGCTTGCACATTTAACGTTTTATAATATTTTTATTAAATTTTTACAGTTTGACTGACAATTTCTGTGATGCACTATTTCATGGGCACTACATGGCTCATATATTGATATTTTGTCGTATACTTATGTCATGTGATATTTCTAGTCTCTTTAATATTTTGATTATTGTTATATGTATTGTATCATTATGCATCATTATGTCATTGCCATGTCATGTACACCTTTACCGAATAAAAAAAAATTAATATATAATATGTTATATAATGATGTTTTTTATAATCCTAATAGGAGAAATTGGTGTTCGTTAGTTAAAAACTTACTTAGTGAATTGGGTTTCTGGACGCATGGATATTTCAAACAGTTGGTGATGTTGATCTGTTTTTGTTAAATGTCAAACAAAGAATAAAAGATCAGTTTGTTAAAAATGGAATGATAGACTAAACAATTCAACTAAAGCAATCTTTTTTAGAAACATTAGGCTAGCAATTTTTGCTTTCAACCGTACTTAAATATTTTAAATTTTAAAACGTTTCGTAACTATATCTTTGTACGTACATGTCACGATTACGTATGTCATCACACAGATTATATGTTGAAACAGGTAGATGGCACCAGCCAAGGGCTATTCGCAAATGTTCTGAATGTAATGTTTTAGAGGACGAGTTTCACTTTGTTTTACAATGTAATAGATATATTAACCTAAGAACGCAGTTTACCGGTAGATCGCAATATTATTGGAGACACCCAAATATGATAAAATTTATTGCTGTTATTAACTCTGATAATGATACTATGATAAAACGTATTGCATGTTATATTGAAAAAGCTTTTAATGTTAGGAACAACACTATTTTCATTCAACGTTATTAAGGAAATTAAGGTCAACTGTACAACTTAAGTAATTGTAAAATGAAATAAGTAAATTTATCTTTTATCTTAGTGTATACACGATATTGTTAAGCAACTATTTGTTTTATCATATGTCAATCTTGTCGCTTTTGTTTTTCGGACAAGGCTGACAAATATGGTCTTCTCAGATGTTATATTATCTTACTCATTCAGCGAATCATTGTTACCAGTAATTCTAAAATGGTAATATGCTATATTTTCGGTAAACTGCTTCAATCACTTAGTTATCTGTGTATTTTGGACAGTTTATATTCATATCTGTCACCAGTTTCATTGCTATGTAATAGTTATAGTTCAGATTTTAAAAAATATGGAATTTATTGCAAGCGTAGCGTAGCGGAGCGCAGCAATAAGTTCTATATTTTTTAAAATATGAACTATAACTGGCTTACCGTTTGACCCACTTTCGTGGAATAAGTCACGTACGAAGTGTCGGTACAGCGTTTGATGTAATACGAGTCCCGCCCTAACTAGTATAGATTGACAGGCCAACACATGGTCGTAGTGTTTTGACCTGTCAATTAAAGCATTGCATTTTTATGTATTTTTATATCATTAGTCATCATGTAACAATCCTGCGATCAGGCTGTGTTTGACATGAATATAGCAAGAATCATGTTTTTGAACCATTTCATGTCGAATGTGCTGATGTGGTCACGCGGTTGCTTGATATTGATACGCAGGTTTTATATGCAGACACAAGCAAAAAGAGGCAAAAGCTCAGGTAAATATTTTATAAAAAAATATTCTCGAATTGTCGCAATATCTAACTGCATCATTATCTGAATGAAAATACAAATTGTAACATGACCAAGCGCGCAGCTTTTGTTCGCCCAACCAGCACCGAACCTCAAAGTATTGAGGTTAATTATTCAAACATAACATGATTAATCTGCCTAAAATGCTGTTGCAATTATTAAAAAAAAACTTTGAAAATCATATTTAAGGGGTTTCTTTGATATTTGCATTTTGCAGGCCGATTTGAAAAGCTTTTGACATCTGATGACATTAAGAAAGACCAGAAATACAGTGTCCTATAATACAACGAAAAACAACTGGGCAGTGCGCGTCTGGAGGGAGTTGGCTGAAAACCGCAACCTATAACCGGAAACTAAGCAAGAGCCTGGTTATCCTATTCCCGTTCAAATAAAGCAGTTCCGTTCATGTGCAGAAATGGATTTTTGGTTACAACGATTCATCAGTGAAATTGAAAGGAAAAATGGTGTATTTTATCCTCCAACAACTTTACTAAACATTGCTGCAAGGCTACAATTAACGGTATCTTCGAAATGAAAAATCCATGCACGTGAACTTTGTTAAAACTGAAGATCTTTTTTTCTGAACTTCGCAGAATATTGGATCCATGCATGCGCGAGTTGACTAACGAAGTCGAAGGGGTCGAAGTCAACTGTTAAAAAAGTGGAGATTTTAACAAAATGTGGAAAAAAATGTCTTGGAATTATGAAAAATGGATATTCTGTATGATCTTTTAAAGATATGTGTTAATTAGTTTCGAACTTTGAGATTTCTCTCGCTCCATGTCTATTATTTTCAGTTATCAGCCACAAACTGTTTTCTAATGTTTGAATTATAACCATGACGGTATAGGGAATGTAATGTTTCAATAATTTTTATACATGTAAAAGCTTGGATTTATAAATAACCGTATGAAATCGCTTTCTTATTTGTTTACTTTATTCGCATGCTACATTCATTGTCTAATTTAAAACTCCGCCCATATTCATAACGTCATATTTGTCAGATACCACGTCAATACCTGTTAAAATATGTCTACTTATTTTCCACATACACCAGTCCCGGTATAGTGTATGCAATATATTTCAAATAAATTGGAGCATTTGATTGGATAAGAAAGTGGGACAAACGGTAAATGTTTGTAATTATGTAAACTATTTTATGTGCAAAACTCAATACCTTTTGCTTGATAAGTTTTGTTTACTGTTACGTAAATTTAAACGGAAATATGTTCTTATCATTATTTATGCATGTCTTATATGCTAGTATGTAAACTGCCATATTTGTAATTTTTACTGTGCATTTTGCCACATGGGTCGTTGACCTTCTGGTTTGATATGAATAAAACTTGAAAAAACTTGTAAACTTGTATTGGAAGTATTAAGTTGATACCTTAGAAAATAAAGTAGTAACAGTATATAAATAACACATGGGTTTGTGGGTAACATTAAAAATATCATCCCGAGGAAAATACGGTTACCCGAGGCGTACATGTTCCAGTTTGACACAAAACTATCTACCAATCTGACGCTCAGAAACTGCTGATGTACAATGAGAGGAAATTTATTTTGCAATGTTAGTAAAAATTACTTTGTGGTTAATGCCATATTTCCTTCTTACACTAAATGGTCAGCAGATTTAACTTACTGTGCGCCGCAAAAAAGTGACCACTTTTTAATACATGTAACATTTCTCAAACGAGTACAAGAGTTTCAAGAGTTTATTTAAAGTACATTTGGGCAATATGCCCATGCATTCACAGTACGTATAACAAAGCATACCACACAATCAAATGGTCAATGTCACAACTTAATAAAACATATATCATTAAGTTACACAGTATTTTTAGCAATCAGAAAACGTTAACTATAGATAGAATATACTATCAACATGTTTCAATTCATATACTGGTAAATAAATACTAAGGACATGTTACCTTTGTTAAAATTATGCCCTTAAAGATGTAAAGGAATAAATATCAACGAGGCTGAGTTCGTTCAATACTTTTAATTGAAATGTCCATTCATTGTATGATCTCAGTATATTACTATATCGATATAAAGATCAAGTAGATTTAACCCAAGAGGTTAAAGTCACATCACATTCACAACTTCACATCAAGCACTTGTAAAAGCACCAATCAATATATAATCAGTATCAAGAAGATATCAATATGTAGATCAATATGAAGATTAATATGTAGATCAATAAGTAGATTAATATGTAGATCAATAAGTAGATCAAGCCCTGAAACAAACAAATATAGCAATACTAAATACATGTACATACTGAGATCATTAACACACATCACAATATATACAATTTAAGTCATAGCATGATTATAACAAACATCTCACATCAAATAGCCAATATAACAGTCATTAAACCATTACATCAATTAATTACTTCTAAATTAATGACTGAACATTCCAAGTACTATTTTCTGTATTATATTAAATATTAAATAATTCAATCCAGTGGTCTATTAAATGAATATAGTAAACTTATAAAATAGTAAAACAGTAATATGACTTGTACAATTATACATACCAATTGTGGATTGGACTCAATGACACTCATACAAAAATCCTCTCAATCTTGTGATGTTACTGCAACATACTGTAATTAAACATGTGCACAATAGAGAATGACAGTGATTTATATTAATATTACTGCAAATAGATATTACTTTAAATATGCTGCCATTATCAGATGCATTGTAAACAAATCATGTACAATATACATGAATATCTTATTTTAATAAACTTTAGACACACAGCTCATTTGTAACTCACTTAAACAAAGTAAGCAACCAATATTAAACTTCACCAACCTCAATCCAAAATCCTATTTAAGAATTAATAACCAATTTATTATTTTAAACAACTGAAAAACATGTCTGCCTTCTACCAAAAACTGATGACAACTCAGAAAACGGCGGGAACAATTACACGCATGATTAACTAATAAAACAGCCAAGGGAAATCACTCCTACAGATTTCAATCAATAAACTACAACTGATTATTTCCCTTTGGTTACACACTTCCCTGCTTTGAGAAAATGACGTCCCGTCATTGTCATGTCAAATGTCATTGTCATGTCAATTAGTCTGTCAGTTAAAATATATTTAGCAACATTTCATGGAAGCAAACATTCCCCTTTATAAAGGTTATCCAACAATTAAGAACAAAATGTTTGTCTTTCCATAAAATAACTATACATCATATCATTGTAACAGCATCAAAAATACAATGCTGTATTTTTAAACAATATACATTTCAATACAAAAAAATGGTTTTAATTTGAAGCATATAAAATCAGTATGTTTGCATAGTGTCTCAAAACGACATCAATTTCTCTCGCAAATATCGCGAACAACGTGCTAGCATATAACGTCGCGAAAGAAAACAATTTCAAAGCAACAAAATGTCGCTTAAGAACGATAAATAATCATACTTATTGCGAAAAAAACATACGCGTCATGTCGCAAATTATGATCAATAATCATATTTCCTGCAAAAAAATATGCTCAACTTCTCTCTTCTCACCCCTTCTTTGGAACATATGCGTCCTCGCAATAAATCAATATTAAAAACATATTAAAACACATTTAATTATCTCAAATTTGTATTTATTGGTACAGTAAAGTAGAATTTTCAATTCAATATCAATTCAATATAGCATTTATTTCATTATAGCATCCACAATTTTCCTTGCAGTGTCTATTTCTATATTCTTCAACACACCTGAAGCAATCATAGATTCCAATGCTTGTAATCTGTGATCATACTGTGGTCTAGTGTTAATAATGCTATGCATATGATAGTCTTTGTATTTGTCTGGTACTCTCTTCGTTCTCTCTGATTTTCTAGTCGGTTCTGGTGGTAACTGTCGCTTTCGTTTCTTCACTCCAATTTCCTTCTGTCTCCTGCTTTCTTTACTGTCTCTCTGTCTATGTCTTGTAATGTTCTATCTTCTCTACTTGTATCTTCTTCTGTCATAGTTTCATCTATCCTACTTTCAGTTAAATGTTCTTGAATGTTGGTTTCATCTTCTGTCTCTACACTACAGGTTATATCTGAATCTTCTTCTATAAGTTGTTCTAGATGATCAGTTTGAACATCTGTCTCCTCCTCTATTTTCTGATCTTCAACCAGCGATTCTGCTGCTTTAGAATCGTTTGGTTCGGTAACTACTGCAGGTTCTTCTATTACTTGTACGCTGTCTTTGATTACATCTGCTTCTTCAACATTTGCAGGTACTTCTGTTTCTACTTCAAGTTCATTCTCACTTTCAGGATGATTACATCTTGACTGATAGGCGTCCCCATCTATTTTTGTTTGTGAAACAAATATATCATCAATTTCATCATCTGAATCTTCTGAGTCTGTGACGTCACATGTTTTCTTTCCGGATGCATCCCCTTTATCTCTATCTTTCTCCTCTGCAGATTCTCTGTTTCTGTGTCATTCACCTCTTCTATGTTCTCATTTGCTTCTTGATATTCAACTAGGAATAGATGATTTCTGTGTAGTGTGCGTTCTTTGCCTTGGTTTTGATTTGACTAAATACACTGGAATGTCTTTTCTTGGTTGATCAATGACTTTATAAATGTCTTCTTCGAACTTGTCAGCTAACTTGTGTTTTCCTTCTTTATGAGCCAAAATCTTCACTAAAACAAATCTCCTATCTCAATCTTTGCCCTCTAACTTTCCTATCATAGTATTTCTTCTGTTTCGCTTTTGCCAAATCCATGTGTTTCTGTACAATCTCCTTACTTCTATTCATTCTTTCTTTTAAATCTTCTATATATTCCTGAGTTGTTTTCTTGATTATTGTATCTTCTTTGGCTTGTTCAAAAGTTATATCAATGGGAAGTTTTGGTTTCCTGCCGAACATAAGCTCATATGGTGATACTTTGGTTGTCTCATGTGGAGTACAGTTGTATGCGAATACTAGTGAGTTGATGTACTTCTTCCAATCACTTTTCTGTGAGTTTTCGAGTCCCTAGCATATCCAAAAGCGTTCTATTGAACCGCTCTGGTCCGGAATTACCTTGCGGGTGGTAAATTGAAGTATGAGATTTCTTAATGTTGGTGATTTCACAAAGTTCTTTGATAAGTTGAGATTCAAAGTTAGCTCCTTGATCTGAATGTAGTCTTGTTGGAATTCCGTAATGAATGATGAAGTGATTGTAGAACGTTTCGGCAGTAGTTTTGGCAGTCTGATTCTTAGTTGGAATAGCTAATGCGAATTTAGTAAAATGATCTGTTATGACAAGTATGTTTCCATATCCTCCTTTTGATGATTCCAGTGTCAGATAGTCAAAGCAAACTAATTCCAGTGGATAGGTTGTATGAACATTAACAAGTGGAGCTCTTGTGTTGGTTTGACTCTTTCTTCTCAGGCATCTGTCACATTTTGAAACAAAATTATCAATATCTGTTGTCATTCCAGGCCAGTAAAATCTTTCTTGGACCAATCTTCTGGTTCTTTCTTTTCCTGGATGTCCTACATCTGTATGTAATCCATGTAAAATTTCTTCTTTATAAACATTTGGAATGCATAGTTGCTCTTTCTTGTTGTCATCTTCAGTTGTTTCTCTAAATAGGATTCCTCTTTTGATCTTTAAATGGTTGAAATTCTTCTTCATAATCTGGTCTTTCTTATCAAAACATTTATCTGGAATGGTCTTATCTATCACTGCTATTCTCCATCTGTCTAGTAAAGGGTCTTCTCTTTGCTTCTTCCTTATCTCTCTCATCTCAATCTGGGCCATTGGTTGACTGGGGTCTTCTGTTGCGTCTATGATGTTGACATTCATTGTTTGAGTCTCTGCATATGGAATACTTACTACACCACATATTGCTCTCACCATGTTGTTATCTATGGTTGTTCTTTCTTCCTGATCTTGAATTGTTGTATCTATAGGATATCTGCTCATGGCGTCAGCATCTGTATTTTTCATTCCAGGTCGATAGTGTATCTCGAAGTCAAATTCTCCAAGCGCTGCTGCCCATCTTTGACCGGTTGCATCCAATTTAGCTGAAGTCAGCACATAAGTCAAAGGATTGTTGTCTGTATATATGGTGAAATGATTTCCAGTCAAATAATCTTTAAATTTCTCAGTTACTGCCCATTTTAATGCCAAAAATTCGAGTTTATAAGCTGAGTAATTCTTTTCCGATATCGAAAGTGATCTTGAAGCATATGAAATAACTCTTTTATGTTCTCCTTGTTGTTGGTATAGTATCGCACCAAGTCCTATTGTCGAGGCATCCGTGTGTAGCTCAAAGGGTTTGGAGAAATCCGGATATGCCAATATAGGTGGGGATGATAATGTTATCTTGAACTCTTCAAATATGTCTTGCTCTCTCTTTGTCCAATTCCATGGTTTAGTTGCCTTTTTCTTGCATCCTCTCTTTGAAGTGTTGTGGGGTACAAGTTCTGCTAGTGGTCTGGTGATTTTGCTGAATCCTTCAATGAATCTTCTGTAATAGCTGGCAAATGAAAGGAAAGAATGTAGCTCATCTGAATTGTTCGGTGTTGGCCAATCACGTACTTTCTGGATTTTGTCTGGATCTGTTTCTATGCCTTCACTGCTGACTACATGACCAAGAAATTTGACTCGTTGTTTGAAGAATTCACATTTTTCAGAAGCTAGTTTCAGGTTACACGACTTCAGGCGGGTGAGTATAATATCCAATCTTTCAAGATGTTGTTCATAAGAGTCGCTGAAGATGATTAAATCGTCTAAATAGATGAAACAGATTTTCAGGTTGAGATCTCCAAGACATTCCTCCATTTAGCGTTGATAAGTTGCTGGTGAGTTAGTTAATCCGAACGGCATTTTGTTGAATTCCCACAATCCTAACGGTCCTACTGTAAAGCATGTTCTTTCTTTATGTTCTTCTTCCACTTCTATCTGATGATATCCTGATTTCATGTCGATGGTTGAAAAATATTTGGCTCCATGTAGACAATCAAAGATCTCTTCTATTCTGGGCAATGCATAGGAGTCTTTAATGGTTCTTTCATTGAGCATCCTGTAGTCAACACATAGCCTTAACTTTCCAGATATTCTTCTAAACTAGTACAATATGTTGAAGCAAGGTGATTTTGAAGGTTTATTAATACCACACGCAATAAGTTGTTTAGATGTTTGTCTTAACTTCATTATCATGTGGTGGAATCCGTCTATGTCGTTGCTGAATGGTGTAGAGTCTAAGATCATCTATGTTTAACCCTGTTTACACATGTCTATGTCTTATGTGGAAGTGAAAAATAATATCCTAATGTTTCATTAAAATTGTTGAAGTCTTGTTCTTTGTTCTTGTCAACCGAGTTGTTGCAGATTCAATTCTATACTATTTCTGGCTTCTTGCTCTGTCTAATCTTTCACCTTCCAATGTGTAAGCTTCATCTGTGAAATATAACTTGCGTTGTAATTCGCAAATCAATCTCTTTAGAGTGAAATTTGTAGCCAGTGTTGGTTGTAAGATTCGATAAGGTTATTCTGTCATACAATGTTATTCCCCTATTTCATACTTGGACTAAGCTGGCTGTGACATCTATGAATTCTGGTATAGAAGCATCCTCAGTTTCCTGAAAAATGGCATTTGTCACGGGATGATCTATCTCTTTATCAGTATAAACATCAATGGTGATGGTCTCATTTGGCCTTATCAATACTTTATAGGGTGCGGCACTTCTTACAATGGCGATTCTGTTTTTGTTGTGTTGCAGTTTTCTCTTTCTAAGCTCAATGGTTCTGAAACACAAATACCATGGTATATAAAGTTTGCTTCTCTGTAAAAATTGGTCTCCAAAATTGTCCTTACATTCCTTTAGAAGTATGTCTAAAATGTTGGTTCCTAAAATGACTGGTGTTCTAGCTGAATAATTAGTATCCGGTACAATCAAAAATAAACAAGTGTGATTCTTGGACTCTGGAATTCCATCCGGTATACTGATATCTGCTTGAATGTATCCTAAATATGGAAGTGTTGATCCGTCAGCACATTCAATATGAATAATCTCTGTGAGTGGCTGTAATTCAATATCTGACAAGTTATTCCTATAAAATGATTCGGCAATTAAGCTGCAACTGCTTCCGGTATCTAAAAGAGAAGAAGTATTGTGACCATTGATACTGATGTTGGCCTCGTTTGTGTCTCCAAATAATTTAGGATCTTTCTTAACAGTTGTGCTATAGTTCGATCCAACAACTGCAGCACTCACTCGTTTAAATCCTTCTTTGTTACCTTGCCTTGATTCTCCAAATCTTTTAAGTCGGTTCTGCAATTCCTAGCTAGATGGCCTCTTTGATTACAACGATAACATGTTCCTTGGAATGTTGTTGATGCGAGTGGTCTTGTTGGTATATACCTACCTCTACCTCTTCCTGTGAAGTTTCCTCTGTTAAAATATCCTCTTCTGTAAGGTCTACTTCCAAATCCATATGTTGTTCTTTGTTCTTCTTTCATGTCCTTTTCTTTCTGAAGGTTATCAAATTTCTCATTCAGTTGCTGAAGCATTGATCTGAGTTCCTTCATTTCAGTATTTTCCGCTTTGTCCATCTTTTGTGCTGTGTGACATGTCTTGGTTTTTACATCTGTCTTCATCTCTGCCTCCATCTTCCGTAACTCTATCTTAAATGCGTCATAGTCCGGTATTGTTGCAAACTTGTATTGGGCAATGTGTTTCAAGTCGATTCTCAAACCTTGATAAAGCACTTGCTTTAAAAGCTCTTCTCGTCTATTTATAGCTCCTAAATCAATTGCTTGAGAATACAATTCCTCCAATTTCGCTGCATAGGTGTTGATGCTGTCTGTACCTTGAGTACATGAATAGAACTTTTTCATAACTGTCTCCTGGCTCTCTATATTTCCATAAGTACTATCCAGTTTCTTTAAAATTTCCGCTACTGTAACACCTGTACCAAGTCGTCTAACAATGTCACTTGCTGTACCTCTCAATGCTCTCCTCATACCTAATAATACTTGAGCCTCGGTAAAAACTTTTTCACTCAGTAAAGACTGTACCTCAAACTTGAATGCTTCATATGTTACATCTCCTTTGTTTTCCTCTCCATAGAAGTTAGATAACTTTGGGAAGTGGTATGATCCTGTAAGTCTTATAGGTGAAGCTGATGCTGTGGTTGATGGTAAAGTACCAGTCAAACTTGTATAGTCCGAAGCATCTTCTGTTTTTATCTTTGTACTGGATGTTGTAAGTGTTGGAAATTCAAGACTTGATGATGGTTTTGTATGTGCTTTCGTCGGTTTTAATTTATCTGCATCCTTTTCATCTTCCCGTTTATTAAATCGTTTCAAAAATTTCACCAAATCCTCCGCACCTCCAAGTTCCGGTCTAAGTTTGAGCTCATGAAAAGCTTCTAACAAATTAACATCTTCCTCTGTTAGATCAACAGATTCCATATCCTCGGTAGATTTTGTAGCTTTTTCTTCTCCTCCCTCTGCTCCTTTTTTCTCATCCATTTTAAAATCAATTTAATTTCAACAATGTAAATAAAGCTAATGCAAAAGACTGAAAATTCAAATATATTACTATCAGTAATATTCTGCTCACCAAGAAAAGAATTTCTTTTATAAAGTAACCCTTTTCAAAATTTAATCAGCATATTCTATAAAAATAATCAGTAATCTTTCCCTGAAATTGCACAATATTACACTGTTAAATATATAAAGTACCAGAATGATAATAAATTATCAGAATGATAATCAATTATCAATATATTTTGTAAAATAGCAAAATATACTGTATATATATATGTTATGTTTTAAAGTATTTCACCTGTAAAATGCAAGAATCTTGCTAAAATATTCAAATGAAGTAATCAACAAGCTGTTGGGCGCCAAATGTTACCTTTGTTAAAATTATGCCCTTAAAGATGTAAAGGAATAAATATCAACGAGGCTGAGTTCGTTCAATACTTTTAATTGAAATGTCCATTCATTGTATGATCTCAGTATATTACTATATCGATATAAAGATCAAGTAGATTTAACCCAAGAGGTTAAAGTCACATCACATTCACAACTTCACATCAAGCACTTGTAAAAGCACCAATCAATATATAATCAGTATCAGAAAGATATCAATATGTAGATCAATATGAAGATTAATATGTAGATCAATAAGTAGATTAATATGTAGATCAATAAGTAGATCAAGCCCTGAAACAAACAAATATAGCAATACTAAATACATGTACATACTGAGATCATTAACACACATCACAATATATACAATTTAAGTCATAGCATGATTATAACAAACATCTCACATCAAATAGCCAATATAACAGTCATTAAACCATTACATCAATTAATTACTTCTAAATTAATGACTGAACATTCCAAGTACTATTTTCTGTATTATATTAAATATTAAATAATTCAATCCAGTGGTCTATTAAATGAATATAGTAAACTTATAAAATAGTAAAACAGTAATATGACTTGTACAATTATACATACCAATTGTGGATTGGACTCAATGACACTCATACAAAAATCCTCTCAATCTTGTGATGTTACTGCAACATACTGTAATTAAACATGTGCACAATAGAGAATGACAGTGATTTATATTAATTACTGCAAATAGATATTACTTTAAATATGCTGCCATTATCAGATGCATTGTAAACAAATCATGTACAATATACATGAATATCTTATTTTAATAAACTTTAGACACACAGCTCATTTGTAACTCACTTAAACAAAGTAAGCAACCAATATTAAACTTCACCAACCTCAATCCAAAATCCTATTTAAGAATTAATAACCAATTTATTATTTTAAACAACTGAAAAACATGTCTGCCTTCTACCAAAAACTGATGACAACTCAGAAAACGGCGGGAACAATTACACGCATGATTAACTAATAAAACAGCCAAGGGAAATCACTCCTACAGATTTCAATCAATAAACTACAACTGATTATTTCCCTTTGGTTACACACAGATACTATCCTATTAATAAGGAAGTAAATCGCAAAACAAAACGAAAATAAGTGTATGTAAGATACAGTGATACAGCGTTTGGGACAAACTTTTGATTAACTGTAAAGAATAGTGTTTCGAACATCGAAAGCTTTAAATATATACATTGATAAGTTTCTAATTTCTATATCATTTTCTGAATTCATCAATGTAACAAATTTAGGTATATTTGGTCTTTTCCAAAAGTACAAGTGTTTGGGGATTAAATAGGGCATTGTTTTTACTATTTAAGGCCTCAAAAGGGGTGGGGTTAAAAGGCGTGAAAACATGTCTATATGAGGTAAAGGGTTAAACATATAGTAAAATCTGTTGACCATTTACACTTGCAGTGAAAACAGTTGACAAATTAGATATATATGTATAGAGAAATATGTTTTTTGCAAGCAATTTCTTATTTATATTGTAATGTTAGTAAATATAAAATTATCTACATCTCGCAAACCAATTAAACCACTACTGACAAACAAAAGTATATTGCTTCAGTGGTTTTTGCCGTATTTTCATCTTATTTTACATGGTCAGTAGATTTAACGTACTGTATGTCATGCTGACCAGTTAAACGTAAAGTAGTATCTGCTGACCAGTTAAACATATAGAAGAACCTGCTGACCAGTTAAACTTATAGAAGAATCTGCTGACAAGTTAAACATATGAAGAAACTGCTGACCAGTTAAACATATAGTAGAATCTACTGACCAGTAAAACATATAGTAGAATTTGCTGACCAGTTAAGCATATAGTAGAATCTGCTGACCAGTTTAATGTACAGTAGAATCTAGTAGAATCTGCTGACAAGTTAAACATATAGTAGAATCTGCTGACCAGTTTAACGTATAGAAGAATCTGCTGACCAGTTTAACGTATAGTAGAATCTGCTGACCAGTTAAACATATAGAAGAATCTGCTGACCAGTTTAACGTATAGTATAATCTTCTGACCAGTAAAAATATATAGAAGAATCTGCTGACCAGTTTAACGTATAGTAGAATCTGCAGACCAGTTAAACATACAGAAGACTCTGCTGATCAGTTTAACGTATAGTAGAATCTGCTGACCAGTTAAACATATAGTAGAATCTGCTGACCATTTAACGTATAGTAGAATCTGCTGACCAGTTAACGTATAGTAGAATCTGCTGACCAGTTAAACATATAGAAGAATCTGCTGACCAGTTAAACATAAAGAAGAACCTGCTGACCAGTTAAACATTTAGTAGAATCAGCTGACCAGTTAAACATATAGTAGAATCTGCTGACCATTTAACGTATAGTAGAATCTGCTGACCAGTTAACGTATAGTAGAATCTGCTGACCAGTTAAACATATAGAAGAATCTGCTGACCAGTTAAACATATAGAAGAATTTGCTGACCAGTTAAACGTATAGTAGAATCTGCTGACCAGTTAACGTATAGTAGAATCTGCTGACCAGTTAAGGTATAGTAGAATCTGCTGACCAGTTAAACATATAGAAGAATCTGCTGATTAGTTAACGTATAGTAGAATCTGCTGACCAGTTAAACATATAGAAGAATTGCTGACCAGTTAACGTATAGTAAAATCTGCTGAGCAGTTAAACATATAGTATAATCTGCTGACCAGTTAAACGTATAGTAGAATCTGCTGACCAGTTAAACATATAGAAGAATCTGCTGACCAGTTAAACATATAGAAGAATCTGCTGACCAGTTAAACGTATAGTAGAATCTGCTGACCAGTTAAACATATAGTAGAATCTGCTGACCAGTTAAACATATAGTAGAATCTGCTGACCAGTTAAACGTATAGTAGAATCTGCTGACTAGTTAAACATATAGTAGAATCTGCTGACTAGTTAAACATATAGAAGAATCTGCTGACTAGTTAAACATATAGAAGAATCTGCTGACCAGTTAAACATATAGTAGAATCTGCTGACCAGTTAAACGTATAGTAGAATCTAGTAGAATCTGCTGACCAGTTAAACATATAGTAGAATCTGCTGACCAGTTAAACATATAGTAGAATCTGCTGACCAGTTAAACATATAGTAGAATCTGCTGACCAGTTAAACATATAGAAGAATCTGCTGACCAGTTAAACATATAGAAGAATCTGCTGACCAGTTAAACATATAGTAGAATCTGCTGACCAGTTAAACGTATAGTAGAATGTAGTAGAATCTGCTGACCAGTTAAACATATAGAAGAATCTGCTGACCAGTTAACATATAGTTGAATCTGCTTACCAGTTAAACGTATAGTAGAAACTGCTAACCTGTTAAGCATATAGAAGAACCTGCTGACCAGTTAAACATATAGAAGAATCTGCTGACCAGTTAAACATATAAAAAAATCTGCTGATCAGTAAAACATATAGTAGAATCTGCTGACCAGTTAAACGTATAGTAGAATCTGCTGACCAGTTAACGTATAGTAGAATCTGCTGACCAGTTAAACATATAGAAGAATCTGCTGACCAGTTAAACATATAGAAGAATTTGCTGACCAGTTAACGTATAGTAGAATCTGCTGACCAGTTAACGTATAGTAGAATCTGCTGACCAGTTAAGGTATAGTAGAATCTGCTGACCAGTTAAACATATAGAAGAATCTGCTGATTAGTTAACGTATAGTAGAATCTGCTGACCAGTTAAACATATAGAAGAATTTGCTGACCAGTTAACGTATAGTAGAATCTGCTGAGCAGTTAAACATATAGTATAATCTGCTGACCAGTTAACGTATAGTAGAATCTGCTGACCAGTTAAACATATAGAAGAATCTGCTGACAAGTTAAACATATAGAAGAATGTGCTGACCAGTAAACGTATAATAGAATCTGCTGACCAGTTAACGTATAGTAGAATCTGCTGACCAGTTAAACATATAGTAGAATCTGCTGACCAGTTAACGTATAGTAGAATCTGCTGACCAGTTAAACGTATAGTAGAATCTGCTGACCAGTTAAACATATAGAAGAATCTGCTGACCAGTTAAACATATAGAAGAATCTCCTGACCAGTAAAACATATAGTAGAATCTGCTGACCAGTTAACGTATAGTAGAATCTAGTAGAATCTGCTGACCAGTTAAGCATGCAGTAGAATCTGCTGACCAGTTAAACATATTGCAAAATCTGCTGACCAGTTAAACATATAGTAGAATCTGCTGACCAGTTAAACATATAGAAGAATCTGCTGACCAGTTAAACATATAGAAGAATCTGCTGACCAGTTAAACATATAGTAGAATCTGCTGACCAGTTAAACATATAGTAGAATCTGCTGTCCAGTTAAACGTATAGTAGAATCTAGTAGAATCTGCTGACCAGTTAAACATATAGTAGAATCTGCTGACCAGTTAAACATATAGTAGAATCTGCTGACCAGTTAAACATATAGTAGAATCTGCTGACCAGTTAAACGTATAGTAGAATCTGCTGACCAGTTAAACATATAGTAGAATCTGCTGACCAGTTAAACATATAGTAGAATCTGCTGACCAGGTAAACATATAGTAGAATCTGCTGACCAGTTAAACGTTTAGTAGAATCTGCTGACCATAAAAAGTATATAATAATACCGCAACTGATGAAATATTTATTTTCATACCACTCGATAAAAATAAATCCTGTATTGTTAGGGAAAAAACTTGAATATCCTCTATGTTGTACTGACCAATTGAATATATTTTGCATCATTTAAATGTCAATATAACATCTTTTTCATCAAAACTTCTCTCGATTTTAGAGTTTCGCACAGTTTTTTACATTTTCCGTGTATTTTATATAAGTACTTCCCTCTATCTTTTGATATCAAATGTTACTTTTTATTAATTTATAATTTTATTGGGCCGTTTCAGTATATAAAAGGGAAAAAGAAACAAACACAAAAGAAAAAAGAAAAGAACAAAACAAGAAGAAAAATATCTTTTGACAAAAAAAAATTACCATACTTTTATACCGTCAGCTTATTTGTCAGCAGTTTAAAATTGTCCACCGGAAGACGATAGTCGACAGTACGCTAGTGCGATGACGACAATACGACAGTGCAATGGCGACACTGCAATAGTGCGATGGCGACAGTGCGATAATGCAATGACGACAGTACGTTATGCGACAATGCGATAGTGCGATGGCGACAGTACGATAGTGCGATGACAACAACGCGAAAGTATTGTCGCATTGTCGCCATCGCATTATCGCACTGTCGTCATCGCGTTATCGCACTGTCGCCATTGCATTATCGCATAGTCACCATCGCATAGTCGCATTTTCGTACTGTTGTCATCGCATTATCGCACTGTCGCCATCGAACTATCTCACTGTCGCCATCGCACTGTCGCCTTCTGAATTATAAGTATATGTTAGTGTTCATCCGAGCTGTTCTATATAAATTAGAAACTTCGACGGGAGCGAAAGCGACAGAAGAATGTTTCTAATTTCTGTAGAACAGCTTAGGATGAATACTCACATACTTAGTGTCAAGCTTTATTTGGCCTCATTATTATTTACTTAAGTACGTCACTATGCTGTTTTATAAAGTACTATGAAAAATAGAAGTCGACTATGGACGAAATTTGATATAGTATCCACTTTTGTACTTCTATGAAAATTAACGCACAGAATTTTGAAGAAATACAGCGTTTTCATTGGATGACAAATAAAGCTGGACACTAAAGTATAAACCCGATGGCACTATTACGGTATTCCGTAATTTTTACAAAGCACTACTATGAACGGAATTTTGTTATTTTATCGGCTTTCGTCGTCTATGAAAATTAACACGCATAATTTTAAAGAAATACAGCGTTTTTATTGAAGTACAAATAAAGTTGACACTAAATGTAATTTAATAATCATTTTATGATCATATCAGCAGTCATTATTTAAAATATATCCGAATCGTTTATTGGATGGATAATGTGTTGTAAAAAAGGTACAAGTTTTGGCCATGTAATAGTTATAGTACATGAAACGA